GGGTGCAAATTGCTCCCTTCATGGGAGTCCACGTGGACTGCCCTACTCCTCCACTAGCAGCAGATCACCTAAATCCTTTTGCAGACATGCTAATTCTAGCTTGAAGGAAAGAGTCTATGTTCCTCCAGCGGGGTGTTCCATAAATAGCTCCAAGGACAAGAGAAAGGCACGTGCCCTATCTTCTTCTTAGACATTACTTTCTATTTAAGTAGGACTGACTCCCTTTGATCTCTGCCTCTTGCTTGCATACAGGTTTCCTTTAGAGACATACTTCATTCCACTGTGCTCTGCTTTATTGTGCTTTGCAGATATTGTTGTTTTTTACTTTGAAGGCACACCCTGCATCAACAAGTCTGTCGGCGCCATTTTTCCAATAGCATGTACTCACTTGGTGTCTTTGGGTCACATTTTGGTAATTCTCACAATATTTCAAACTTTCTCATTACTATTACATCTGTTATGGTTGTCTGTGATCAATGATCTTTGATGTTCCATTGTAGTTGTTTTGGGGAACCACGAACCAAACCCACAGAAGACAGTGAACTTAATTAGTAAATGTTGTATGTGTCTTGACTGCCTCACTGAGCAGCTGCCAGCTGTCCCCCCATCTTTCTCCTTTGCCCCAGGGCTCCCTATTCCTTGAGACACAGCAATATTGAAATTAGGCCAAGCAATTACCCTACAATGACCTCTCTAAGTGTTCAAGTGAAAGGAAGAGTTACACATCTCTCACTTTGAAACAAAAGCTAGAAATGATTAGGCCTAGTGGTGAAGACATGTTGAAAACTGAGATAGGCCAATAGCTAGGCCTCTTGCACCAGTTAGCCAAGTTGTGAATGTGAAGAAAAAGTTCTTAAAGAAAATTGCAAGTGCTACTCCAGTGAACATACGCATGATAAGAAGGCAAAACAGCCTTACTGCTGAGATGGAAAAAGTTTTAGAGTTTTGGATAGAAGGTCAAACCAGCCACAACATTGCCTTAAGCCAAACATGATCCAGAGCAAGGACCTAGATTTTCAATTCTATGAAGGCTGAGAGGGGTGCAGAAGTTGCAGAAGAAAAGTTGAAAGCCAACAATGGTTTGATTCATGAAGCCGAAGAAGCAGCCTCCATAACATAAATGTGCAAGGTGAAGCAGCAAGTGTTATTGATTGCTAGCTAAGATCATTGATGAAGGTGGCTACACTACACAACTGATTTTCAATGTAAACAAAACAGTCATCTACTGGAAGAAGATGCCATCTAGAACTTTCACAGGTAGAGAGGAGAAATCAATACCTGATTTCAAACCTTCAGAGGACAGGCTGACTCTCTTGTTAGAGGCTAATGCAGATGGTGACCTTAAGTTGGATCCAATGTCCATTTACCATTTAGAAAATCCTAGGGCCCTGAAGAATTATGCTAAATTTGCTCTGCCTGTGCTCTATAAATGGAACAATAAAGCCAGGAAGACAGCACATCTGTTTTCATCGTGTCTTACTGAATATTTTAAGCACACTGTTGAGACCTACTGCTCAGAAAAGATTTCTTTCAAAATATTACTGTTAATTGACAATGCACTTGGTTACCCAAGAGCTCTGAGGCAGATGTACAAGGAGATCAATGTGGTTTTCTTGCCTGCTAACATCACATCCATTCTGCAGCCCATTGATTAAGGAGTAATTTTTACTTCCAATTCTTACTGTTTAATAAATAAACTTTGGAAGGGTCTAGTTGCCATGGATAGTGATTCTGCTGATGGATCTGGATAAATGGAAACCTTCTGGAAAGGATTTACCATTCTAGATGCCATTGAGAACATGTATGTTCATCAATAGCAAAGTCATGGAATCAACCTAAGTGTCCATCAATGTTTGATTGGATAAAGAAAATGTGGTATATACAAACCATGGAATACTATGTAGCCTTTTAAAAGAATGAACTTATGCCCTTTGCAGCAATATGGATGGAGCTGGAGGCCATTATGCTAGGTGAAATAACTCAGAAACAGAAAATTAAATACTGTGTCTTCTCACTTACAAGTGGGAGCTAAACAATGGTACACACGGACATAAAGTTGGAAACAGCAAACACTAGGGATTCTAAAATGGGGGAGGGTGGATGAGGGGTTGGTGAGGGTTGATTTCATGGTTTATACCTATTGGTTAGAATGTTCAATATTTGGGTGATTTGTTCACTAGAAGCCCAAATTTCACCATTATGCAAAATCCCTCCATGTAACAAACCTACACATGTACTCCTGAATCTCAAACAAAATAAAATAGTAACAATAAAAATGAACACTTGTGATTCATGAGAGGAGATCAAACTGTCAACATTAACATAAATTTGGAAGAAGTGGATTCCAACCATACTGGATGACTTTGGGTTCAAGACTTCAGCAGGGACAAGCACTGCAGATGTGTTAGAAATAGTGAGGAAACTAGAATGACAAGTGGAGCCTGAAGATGCGACTGCACTGCAGCTATCTCATGACAAAACTTGAACAGATGAGGAGTTGCTTCTTCTGTATAAGCAAAGGAAACAGTTCGTTGAGATGGAATCCTGGTGAGGGTGCTGTGAACATTGTTGAAATGACAACAAACCTAATTGATACAGCAGTGGTACAATTTGGGAGGATCGACTCCAATTTTGAAGAATTTATACTGTGGGCAAAATGCTATCAAACACAGAAATATTTCATAAAAGGAAGATTCAATAGCTGAAACAAACTTCATTGTTGTCTTATTTAAGAAATTGCCACAGCTGCTCCAACTTCTAGCAACCACCACTCTGATAATCAGTCAGCAGCCATCAATATTGAGGCAAGACCCCCCACCAGCAAAAAGATTATGACTCACTGAAGTCTCAGAGGATCATTAGCATTTTTTAGCAGGACATTACTTTTAAATTAAAGTATGTACTTTTTTTAGACATGACGCTACCGCACACTTAAAAAAACTACAGTATCATGTAAATGTAACTTTTATGTGCACTGGGAAAACATAACATTTGTGTGACTTGCTTTATTGTGACAGTCACTTTATTGCAGTGGTCTGGAACCTGAACCCACAACATCTTTGAGTATTCTGTATTTGCAACTGAGCTTCTAGCAAAACGAATTTCCCAATTTTTCCTGACCGTATATCTTTCAAAGAAGGATTATCCCCTGCCCATCATCAAAAGATGATACTGGGGACTTTCTTCTGCTCACTATTTGAGAGCAGACCACCTGCTACTCTCACTCCTCATTATTAACTACTCTAGTGACCATGAAAACAAAATCAGTTCTTCTAGAGCCCCTGCTGGCTGCCCTGCTACTGGGCTTGGGTTCTTCACTGTACTATACTAAAGAAGATTTGGCTCCAAATATCAGTGCTATCACTTCCTGGCTATGCGAGCTTGGAGGTGGCATTTGACTAATTCGTGAATGTCAGTTTTGTTGCTTATAAAGTGGGGATCACCGGTATCTATTTGAGAGAACAATTTTGAGAATTAAATAATGTCGAGCATCTGAAACATAATGTAAGTGTGTCCTCCTTGTCAAATTAATTCTTTGCTCTGTTTCAAAAGGCCACTCCCATCCCCCTCCTGAGGAAGACAGCCCCAAATATTTTGCCACATTGAAAAACCAGACGTGTCCAACAGCTGTCTACCATTCTAACTTATGGAGACTTCTTGGGGAGGTCATTGGTATTCCAGTTTAGTGTTTTCCCAAGTATGTTCTGTGGAATAGTTGCTCTGCAAGTCACTGTGGAAAAAAAAGTTTTCATGGGAAATAAATGTGAGAAATGCTGTAAGTGTAGCTTTAACTTGAAGAGTCACAATATATATTTGCTTTCTAAAATTTCTGCAAAATTTCCTGCAGTAAATCCAGCCACAGCACTCCAGCCTGGGCGACAGAGCGAGACTCCGTCTCAAAAAAAAAAAAAAAAAAAAAAAAAGAAATACATTTAATCTAGTATTTTACACACTTATTTGACCGTGGGTCTCTTTCTTATGTAAAACAACATTTATTATCCCAAAGGATATACTGTGGTCTGCTAACTTGGTCCTAACCTTCTCAGCCCCTTCCCCTCCTTTCAGCAATAATTCATGTTTCGGAAGTTTGAATTGGAGGAAGTGCATTCTATGCGAATATAGAAAAAGCTGCTCTTACTATATGCTGCTAAAATAGAGATCATAAGCTGACAGAATGGACTCTCTGTGGTAACAAGATACCAAATTATAAACAAGACCGAAGGCAGTGGTAGACAAGGGTTAAGTCCTACAGCCCCTACAGTTAAAGAATAAACTATGTTCTAACTGCCTCAAGGTTTTTCTTTTTCTCTACCAGCAAAACAAGCATCGGTCTCCAGATAAGCAATATTGAAACAATTGCAGCTCACCAACCACCAGACACTGACTAACTGACCTCCTGCTCCACAAGGCATATTACAGCTCTTGACTGGACAAGAGACTGATTTCAGTAACTTTCTTCTAAGAGACCACAAGCCGGTTCTGGCTGATTTATAGAGGCTGAGCATTGATTACTTTCATGTCCCTGCTTCACCTTTTGATGTGTGTGGTCTAAATTTTACTGTATCTTAATGTTGTCTCCACCCCAAAGTAAACATGGGTTTTATGTTACATACATGTTCATTCTGTTTATATATGTTGACTCACAAATATTCGTAAGACTCTCCTATAACCTACTGAATATGTATGTATACCTAATTTCCTTGGACATAAATCTCAGCCTCTCCCTTTTTTCCTCTGAAGTGCCTGCTATTGTTCTCTGCCAGAGGCTAGCTTCCCCCTGTCAGGATGGCCACCCTGCAAGTTGCAACTTCTTGTAAGAAATAAAGTCTCCTCTCCAAATTTAAGATTGACAATGCCTATATATGAAATAATAAAAGTCAGACCTATACACAGGTTATCAAAATAAGGCATAGTAAATGCATAAGGTATTAGAGACCCATAGATTATCCCACTCTGTTGAGCTGAGCGTCCCGTAAACCTCTAAGAGAGGCTATGCAGATATGACAGGTCCTGATTTTATAGCCATTGAAGCTATGGTGATCCCGATTAGTGCAGTAGCGAGTCCTGTCTCACCATTACGCTGCCTTCTGATGGTGGTCAGGTGAGGCTCATAGTTATCCAGGGTGCTGCCAAGGCTAGAGCTTGATGCATCAATCCTGAAGTCCCACCTGATTGCCCAATAAAAGATAAATCTCAGGGGGCTGAGAAACGTGCCCTTCAGTTCACGTGTATTATCCTCAAGGGGAACATTATTGCTTTACAAGCTTGGATTCTTTGTTCTGAACCCTAACTGTAAACCAGGAATTGGGGCTGAGAGCTTCTTCCACGCACAGCCCTAGGCTCGGCTCTGCATCCAAGCTCCGCTTTCTAGAAGTGCTTATATTATTAACCAGGCTGCAGCCGGAATTCGCTAGAAACCACAATGTGGGCTACTGCTTTGCGGAAGGAAGAGGAGCGAAGGACGAGGCTGCCCCCTAGTGGGAAAGCCACAAGAAGCAGCGACGCTTCCAATCAGCTCACACCTTGAAGTATTGCAAGGAGATGAATGGGCTCCGCATTTCCAGCTTCAGGGACTCCATTTCAGAGTCGCTGGGGAGGATATTGGGGTGCAGATTCTTTTACCATTACGGAGTGGTGGTATGGCGTTGAGAAATAAGAATAGGCGAACATCTTATCTACTAACGTCTAGCCTCTATAAACAGCCCCTGGTTAAATCCAGATTCCGGGTCCTGGTTGGGAGATTTTGATTTAGCAGGGCAGGAATGGGAAACAAGGGAGGGTTTGGGTTTTAAATCAGCGTGATTCTGATCATCTCGCAAATTTGAATATTCTGCGCTGGGAGGCGACTTTCTGTTTCACTTTCCCAGACCCGGGTCAGGGGCCAAGCCCTTGCAAGTCGAGAGACCCAGGACTTGCTCTCTTCCCTCTGCGTTCGCGCAGCCTCCAGCTGTATCTCCGGCGTCGCGAGGGTAGCCAGACCCAGCCAGCCTCCCCGGGATCCGCCCACCAGCCGCGGTTTCCATGGCGACCCGATGGCGCCGCGTTCCGCAGCCTTAGGGCGGGGCAAGGGGCGGAGACCTATCTCTCTCTCCAGGCGCTCAGCGCCCGACATGCAAGTGGGAAGGGGATTCTCGTCCAGGACGGTGAGGCTAAGAAGTAACGTTTCTTCTTATTATTGTTATTATTTATTACTTTGAGGACTTCTTGCGCCTATTTTAAAAAATAAACTTTAAGTGTTTCTTTATTGTTTTTGTTTGTTCGGTGGGGAGAATATATGTGACATATTTTTCTAGGATTTGTCTCTTAACATTTTCTCTTCAGATTCAAATACTTCGGACAGACTCACCGACTGCCCGGCTGAGAGAATCTGTGAGGTCTACCTGCCTAGCAGTTTGCCTTTGCACGGTCCTCCCGTGAGGAGTGAGAACACACAGGTATGTGACTTCGGTAACTGTCCACGCTGGGGTAGTTCCCAGGCCGTCGACTTTCTGTCCCTTTCTTGACTGTCCAGTCTCACCTTTCTCTCCAAGGACTGCTGCTTCAGCGGAATCCAGATGTGGGAGGCCAGGTTCTCAGGTGGCCTAGTGGGAATGCAAGGGCTGTGCTCTCAGAAGCATCTGGGGGTGAGCTTGCCACACAGAAGCAGAAAAAACTGTTTCAATCAACTTTCTTTATGAGAGAGACACACCTGGCTGGAGGTGCTGGTTTTTCTACTTGACAACCCTGAGGCCTGGGCATACCTCAAAGGTGCTTCAGGTAGCTTGGTCAGCATGTTTCAGCTAGTCAGGTCCTGCCCCCGCGGTCTGTGGGCTTTTAGTTTTGGAGTGGGTATAATGGATTCCTAGGATCCTGGATGACCTCACATTCAGGGTGCTTTCTTGAGGGCAGTTTGGCTGTTCAAGCTGGCTGGAGGCCAAATGGAAATCTGGACATCTCAGGAAACTGGTTGATATGCTGGGTTAGTGAGGATGAGGGAGGGGGGTGTTGCTTTACTTTTCACACTCACCCAAAGAGTTACCATCTATTACCATCTCCATTTTGTAGAAGAGGAAAGGGAGGCACAGAGAATTTCAGAAACTCCCAGGATCTGGCTTCCACGCTCACACTCAGTACTTTGAATTTAGCTTAATTATCTTTTTCCCTAAATGGAGTGTTTATTCATGCTACCTTTTGCCCACTCCTATTAATCTAGCCAAATTCATTCACTCATTTATCAGTGAGCTCTTTCATTTCTGACCCCTCCCCTGTGACTGTAGTTCCACGGGACCAGAGACAACCACATGTGTTTTATGAAGTTATGTATCTGGCATGCAATTAGGCTCCAAGGAAAGTTTGATGAGTGGATAAAGAGCAAAGAGAGTGAGTGCCTCAGAGTTTTTGCATTTATTGGATAAATTAGGAGGAGAAGGAAACATAAGTGACATTTATAATTACCTTTTCTGGACCAGGCACCTAAGATATTTTATCCCCCTTTATTCCTGTACCATGAGATAGGAAAAGTTTAAGACCCACTTTGCCACCCCCCCCACTCTGTTTTTATGAATGAGGAAACCGAATGTATTAGTCCGTTCTCACGCTGCCGATAAAGACATACCTGAGACTGGGTAATTTATAAAGAAAAAGAGGTTTAGTGGACTCACAGTACCACATGGCTGGGGAGGCCTCACAATCATGGCGGAAGGTGAAGGAGGAGCAAAGGCATGTCTTACATGGTAGCAGGCAATTTAGTGTGTGCAAGGGAACTGGCCTTTATAAAACCATCAAATGTTGAGAGACTTATTAACTACCACGAGAACAGTATGGGGGAAACTGCCCCCATGATTCAGTTACCTCCCACTGGGTCCCTCCCATGACATGTGGGGATTATGGGAGCTATAATTCAAGATGATTTTTGGGTGGGGACAAAGCCAAACCATATCATTCTGTCCCTGGCTTCTCCCAAGTTTCATGTCCTCACATTCTGAAACCAATCATGCCTTCCCAGCAGTCCTGCAAAGTCTTAATTCATTTCAGCATTAACTCAAAAGTCCACAGTCTCATCTGAGACAAGGCAATTCACTTCCACCAATGAGCCTGTAAAATCACAAGCAAGTTAGTTAATTTCTAGATACAATGGGGGTAAAGGCATTGGATAAATACACCCTTTCCAAATGAGAGAAACTGGCCAAAACAAAGGGACTTATAGGCCCCATGTAAGTCTGAAATCCAATAGGGCAGTCACTAAACCTTAAAGTTCCAAAATGATCTCCTTTGACTTTATGCCTCACATCCAGGTCATGCTGATGCAAGAGGTGGGCTCCCACAACCTTGGACAGCTCTGCTTGTGTGGCTTTGCGGGGTACAGACCCCCTCCCAGCTGCTTTCACAGCTGGTGTTGAGTGTCTGCAGCATTTGGTGCATGGTGTAAGCTGTTAGTAGATCTACCATTCTGGGGTCTGGAGAATGACTGCCCTATTGGATTTCAGTGGTTCCCAAACCTCAGTTCTTGGCTTTTGTGTACCCATAGGCTCAATACCACATGGAAGCTGCCAAGGATTGGGGCCTGCATCCTTTGAAGCCATAGCCCAAGCTGTACCTTGGTCCCTTTTAGCCATGGCTGGAGCAGCTGGGACACAGGGCACCAAGTCCCTGGGCTACACATAGCAAAGGGGCCTGGGACCTGGCTCAGGAAACCATTTTTTCCTCCTATGTCTCTGGGCCTGTGATGGGAGGGACTTCCACAAAGCTCTGTGACATGCCCTGGAGACATTTTCCCCATTGTCTTGGTGATTAACATTTGGCTCCTTGTTACTTATGCAAATTTCTGCAGCCAGCTTTAATTTCCGCTCAGAAAATGGGGTTTTCTTTTCCATCACATTGCCAGGCTGCAAATTTTCTGAACTTTTATGCTCTGCTTCCTCTGGAACACTTTGCTGCTTAGCATATTCTTCCACCAGATGCCCCAAATCATCTCTCTCAAGTTCAAAGTTCCACAGATCCCTGGGGCAGGGGCAAAATGCTGCCAATCTCTTTGCATAGCAGGAGTGACCTTTACTCCAGTTCCCAACAAGTTCCTTATCTCCATCTGAGACCACCTTAGCCCGGACTTTATTGTCTATATCACTATCAGCATTTTGGTCAAAGCCATTCATTAAGTCTCTAGGAAGTTCCAAACTTTCCCACATCTTCCTGTCTTCTGAGCCCTCCAAGTCTCTAGGAAGTTCCAAACTTTCCCATATTTTCCTGTCTTCTTCTGAACTCTTCAAATGATTCCTAGCTCTGCCTGTTACCCACTTCCAAATTTGCTTCCACATTTTCAGGTATCTTTACAGCAGCACCCCACTCTGCAGTACCAATTTACTGTATTAGTCTGTTCTCACACTGCTAGTAAACACATACCTGAGACTCGGTAATTCACAAAGAAAAAGAGGTTTAACAGTTTTGAAATGGGAGAGTTCCCTGATCCCCTTAGGCTGTGTGACAGGAGTGTGGCTTGCCCCTGACAGAAGGGGGAGCATGCAGACAGGCAGGAGCTGGGGGAGCACTATAGGCTCCAGCCCTGCGGTAGTGTCTAGTGTCTAGGGGTGGGTGCCTGTGGCCACAGTGTTACGAAGCTCTCTTAGCCTTGCCATCCAGAGATGGCTTGAATGTTAACCAGTTCAATGAACCCTCTGCCTTTTTGCAAGGGTAGAGGTGCAGTGTGACAGCTTTCTATATCCTGAGCTCTTGCCCAGCATCCCAGAAGAATCGGGTCACACATGGGCTTGAAGGATGAATGCGAAGTTTTATTGAGTGGTGGAGGTGGCTTTCAGTGGGATGGATTGGGAGCTGGAAGGAGGGGATGGAATGGGAAGATGATCTTGCCCTGGAGTTGGGCTGTCCAGTGGCCTAACTCCTCTCCAACCACCCCCAGCCCAACTCCTCTTGGTGTTCAGACGTTCCTCCTCTTCTCTTTTTCTCTGCCACATCGTTTGCTGTCTGTCTGCTTGTCTCATCTCTTTGTCTGCTTGTCTGCTCTGGATCCTGGGGTTCAGGGTTTATATGGGTACAGGATAGGGAGCATCGTGGTCCAAAAAGTAACTTTTTGGGTGCAAAAACAGAAACACCTATCCTCGTTTAGGGCCATGGGTCTTTAGGCTTGAGAGTGGGAACTTTGCCAGGGAACTGCCCTCTTCTACTCAGTGTTTCCCTGTCTACTGTCTGTATCAGTTCCACATGGCTAGGGAGGCCTCACAATCATGGTGGAAGGTGAAGGAGGAGCAAAGCTATGTCTTACATGGCAGCAGGCAAGAGAGTGTGTGCAGGGGAACTGCCCTTTGTAAAACCATCAGATCTTTGAGACTTATTCACTATCAGGAGAACAGCATGGGAAAACCCACCACCATGATTCAATTACCTCCCACAGCGTCCCTTCGATGACACCTGGGGATTATTGGAGCTACAATTCAAGATGAGATTTGGGTGGGGACCCAGCCAAACCGTATAACTGAGGTTGAGTCATTTACCTAAAGGGATATTGATAGCTCATGGTAGACCTGGGATTTAAACCCAAGATTATTTGCCTGACTCTAGAATCCACACATATTCTTTAAATTTTTTAAAAAGTTAATTAATATTTATTTATTTATTTTTTGAGACAGAGTCTTGCTCTGTCGCCCAGGCTGGCGTGCAGTGGCATGATCTTGGCTCACTGTAACCTCCACCTCCAGTGTTTTAAGAGATTCTCGTGCCTCAGCCTCTTGAGTAGCTGAGATTACAGATGCACACCACCATGCCTGGCTAATTTTTGTATTTTTAGTTGAGATGGGGTTTCACCATGTTGGCCAGGCTGGTCTCGAACTCAGGTGATCAACCTGCCTTGGCCTCCCAAAGTGCTGGGTTGCAGGTGTGAACCACTGTGCCTAATTTAATTAATTAATATTTAAAGATGAGGTATCACTGTGTTGTTCAGACTGTAGTGCAGAGGCTTTTCACAGGTGCAGTCATGGCTTACTACAGTCTTGAACTCCTGGGCTCAAGTGATCCTCCCACCTCAGCCTCTCAAATAGCTGGGATTACAGGCACATGCCACTGTGCCTGGCAGAATCCATATATTTTTAATATATGGATTAAAGCTCTACCTGCTAGAGCTTCCAGAATGATGAAGTAGTGTCCAAGGGGAAGGTAGAATTTTTTTTTCCTGAGTGAAAAGTTAAAAATGAAAATTTGATTCTTTAGATCAAATTAGATTGATTCTTTAGCTAGTCAACAAGAGTGTGTTGAGGTTCCATCATATACTGGGCATGAGAGGAGAGATAAAATATATGTAAAACAACAAAGTACTGAGGCTGGAGAAGAGAGTTCTTTATTTAGAGGAGACTGTTCTCTCACCTGGGTCCTGGCTTAGAGAATCCCGAAGCTTTGGCCTTAAAGTAGGGGCGGAGAAAATGAGGAGAGTTTTATCCATCAGCTACTTCCATTATAGACTTGCCTGAGATGGAATTGCAGGTTATTTTGTTTTGTTATTTTAAATGAGACAGATGTTGTATAAGCACCAGAAATAGAACAATGGTGTCTGTTAGATTTGAGGAGGGAAGGTCTTGTTTTGCAATATGTAGTGTTATTTCATTTTATTTATTTATTTTTATCTTTTTTTTTTTCAGATGAGGTCTCGCTCTGTTGCCCAGGCTGGAGTGCAGTGGTGCAATCTCGGCTCACTGCAACCTCTGCCTCTAGGGTTCAAGTGATTCTCCAGCTTCAGCCTCCCAAGTAGCTGGGACTACAGGCACACACCTGGCTAGTTTTTGTATTTTTAGTAGAGATGGGGTTTCACCATGTTGGCCAGGCTGGTATTGAATTCCTGACCTCAAGTGATCTACCTGCTTTGGCCTCCAAAAGTGCTAAGATTACAGATGTGAACCACTGTGCCTAGCTTTTTTTTTTTTTTTTTTTTTTTTTTTAATGTCTGCATTGTGCATTGTTTCCCAGTTTGTTGTACTAAAAGAAGAAACTATTTTGTGTTCTAATAATTTACGGCTGTGCAGGTAGTTTGGCTTTTGATAAAAGACAACCTCTTGTTTCCAGTTTGTAACTGATGTATCATTCTCCTTGTTTCCCCTGCCCGTAATTTAATGTGGTTACACTTCTGTTTTCTTTCCTTAAATTCACTTGCTGCTTTTCTCCCCACTCTCTCTCTCAATGTCAGCAGTTTTGCGTGAACCATTCCCTTTGCCTCTCCCTTGACTTCTACTCTGCCTGCTACATCTTTGGGGATTACAGCCCACTAAGCAGTCCCGTTGGCCATTCTGGAGAAAGCAAGCATCTTTTTCATGCCTGTAGGTGGCATGTACCCTGTGTACATGTGACTGCACCCTGTGGAGGAGCTGGGAGGCAAAGTTTATTTCTTAAAAGTTTTCAGTGTCTTGCAAGGAACAGCTGTGGCCACGGTGAAGCACAGAGGTCCAAAGAGAAATTCTGTCATTCAAGAAGGAATGAAATAAAAGCTTATTAAGCTACTATCTGTTTATCTGTATACACCGACACTGTCAGTTGTATACCATGCTCTTAAGTAATTACAAACCATAATTGTAAAACTTTTTTTTTTTTCTGTATGGCTTCCGATATTTTCTTTTCCGTGGGCAGACCAGTTTATTTGTATTTGAATTGATGGCTTATCAATTTGGGTTCTAAAAACACAACTTGAGCTATACATTGCTTATGACAATGCAGAGCCAGCTAAATAATTAAAAGTGAGAGGTAATATATCCAAGAGTTAAGAAAAGCAAGACCTCTGAAACCAGTAGGCTTGGGCTGAAATTCCGGCTTTTCCATCTATAGCTATGTGACCTTGGGCAAGTTACTTAACCTATCTGTGCTTCTGTTTTCAGAGCGTTAAGTGCTATGTGTTAACAGCTACTGTTATTATTGTTGTTGTTATTATTATTACACATTTTTCATATATCTCACTGGACCCTGATTTTATATACATATATACGTACATATAAATATATGTACACACACACACACATGCATACACCCACACACTAAGGTTTTTTTTTTTTTCAATTTAAGTACTAGTTTTTGGGTTTCTGAGGTCCTAAGTATACAGTGATACTAATTATACATTGGTACAATTTCCTGACAGTGGGTCTTCATGCTGTTATTGTTTACAGTGAGAAAGCTGTGGAAAGAGCGCTGGGCTTCCAAAAGCCACGGGTTCCTTTATAAGTTGGCCACTTACTTCTTGTGGGCATAGCTATGGTCCTACTCTCTGGAGCTGAGTGTCCATCTCTAATAAGTGACAGGCACAAGTGGCCTAGACAATAGCAAAATCATCTTTACTCCACTGTGGCCTTCATGACACCCTTATCTGCATCATGATAAAAAATAAGGTTAATGCAAGGCAATGTGCAATGTAATGAGAAAAGGGGAAAAAGTTGAGACCATGAATGGTCTTCAGACTAATTTCCACAGTCCCAGTATCTCGCTCCTTGAATTCGCTCATCTGTTTAGTGTTATTTAGTCCAGTCTACTGAGATTATTGATTGGGGCCAGCCTAGATGAAATGTTCTTGACTTCAAAGAAGAGCTGAAGCATAAAGAGGCTTCTCATTCTTTGGCTTTGCTGGAGTGTGAAAACCAGACCCTTTGGGAGTTCACGTTGTTGGTGAGAACAACCAGTTCAATATCCCAGCAGAATCATAGCTACCTTCAGTTATGCAGTCGGGCTGACTTCATGTTTGTTGATCAGTTATTTATGAAGCACGTTCTATGTGGTTAAAAGTGTTATTGGTGCTCTAAAAATATAAAAGAAAAAAACCCCATAACCTACTATATGTGCCCTAAATCAGAGAGACTAGATGTGGCTACCTTAGAAATTAGATACATCATTAAGTCAAGGAAAGACTGAGGATCTGTCCAGATTGAAGGAGACTAAAGAGGCTTGGCAACTAAATGCAGTGTGTGAATTGGAACTGAATCCTTTCCTAGAAAGGACATTACTGGAACAATTGGTGAATATTGAATGGAGTATGAGGATAAGATGGTCATAATGTATCAATGTTACTTTCCTGGTTTTGCTGGCTGCATTGTAGAGTATGAAAGATAAAGTCCTTGTTTGTAGAAAATCTACACTAAATTTTTCAGGGATGATGGACTATTAGGTTGGCAGCTTACTCTCAAGGGGATAAAATGACTTTTTACTTCGGGTGACTGACCAGCCTTGTCTGTCCAGGATAGTCTCAGTTTCAGCACTGATGGCCATGTGTCATGGAAATCCCTCAGTTCCAGGCAAACAGGGATGGTTAGTTACCCTATTTATACTATAAATAAGGTTTCAAAATGTTTCAAAATAAATATTTTTGTAAAACATTAGATAACTCAAGAAATGAAAATGAAAATTCTAATGACCAATAATAAGCATGAATAAAGAAGCAATACATGATAGTTTCTTTTTTTTTTTTTTTTTTTTTGAGACGGAGTCTCGCTGTGTCGCCCAGGCTGGAGTGCAGTGGCCGGATCTCAGCTCACTGCGAGCTCTGCCTCCTGGGTTTTTACGCCATTCTCCTGCCTCAGCCTCCCGAGTAGCCGGGACTACAGGCGCCCGCCACCTCGCCCGGCTAGTTTTTTGTATTTTTTAGTAGAGACGGGGTTTTACCGTGTTAGCCAGGATGGTCTCGAACTCCTGATCTCGTGATCCGCCCGTCTCGGCCTCCCAAAGTGCTGGGATTACAGGCTTGAGCCACCGCGCCCGGCCAATACATGATAGTTTCTAAGCAATGTACAGACACTAAGTGGTATCGTTGGTAGACGGTGTCATTCATGGTGAGCTAGAATGGTCAGATATGGTAGATGATACTACACGAGGGATTGCAGGTGTGCTGCCAGTCTGAGGATGTCCCACTACTGTGGTGCAATGTAGACAGGGCTCTTATCATACATGACCTTGCTGTTCTCAACCAGGCTGACCTTGAAGAAGTCACTTCATCATTCTAAGCCTCAGTCCCCTCATCTGCAAAGTAAGAATATTGTATAGAAGATTTCAAATGCTTTTTCGTGGCAGTTGAATCCTTTCCTTAAAGGAAGTCTTGCCATTTAAAATGTACTAGAATTGCTCTAGTTGAAGTGCATGAGGGGTTTCAAATCCTGCAGTTCCCTTGGCCCCTTCTAAGCCCCTTCTGTCATGGTCTCTGATTTTCCTTGCAAATGTGGAGCTCTGCAGAATGCATTGCGAAAGCCACTGGGCTAGAAAGGATTTCTTTGTCATTTATAATCACTCCTTTGCCTTCTAAGATAGATGGCTCCTTTTTCTCCTGGAAAATTCCATGATACAAATATCTGTTACTTCCAGAACAGACATGATACCTTCAGAAATTATTTGTCAAAGTTCTTAAATACATGTTTCAGAGAAAGTGTCTGTTTAGTGTTATTTAGTATCAGCATTATGTGTATAAGATTATAACGTCTTGTCATTTAGCAACACCTAAACATGCGTTTATTTATGAGATTGATTTGCTATTGGGCAGAGACAAATGCAGCCTAAGAACACTAAACAGGGGTCAGGGAAGGGGGAGAGTACAGGCTAAGTCCAGGCCAACATGGACCATGACTTTTTAAATATAAGGTCATGGTTTCATCCTGAAATTTTTTCTCCAAAAGTGACATGACAGTCATTATACTTTTTGTCATTATACTTTTAGTATAAGGGTTAAGAAAATACATAATGTCAAAAGGCTTCTCTGAGTTCAGATGTCATTTGCATGTGAATATGTATCTCATGAATTGCAGTGTTATTTGTTTATTATTCAGGCATTTTTTTAGCTCACATAAGGATTCTCCAATGACTTGCAGCAACTGTGACTCGCTCCATCCCCGGGGGTCTGCAGCCCTTGGCCTGGGCCAGTTTCTTCTGGCCAAATTCACTCATCTGGAAGCCTTCACACATGCTGTTGCTTCTTCCTGAAACCGCATGTTTTTAAAAAACGTCTCTTTTTTAAAAATTTGCAGATGAATCCATTACCTCCCATACAGACTGGACATTCTCCACGGAATGAAGCAGACATGCCTCAATCCCATGGCCTAAAGCTCTTGCGAGCCAAGTGTGTAACTTACTATGAAAGCATTGGGATCCTCGAGGGTGATTCTTCCAGAAATGGCAGCCAATCAGTGTTGAAGGCTTCCCAAGACACCCAAGTGAACCCCACAGAACATCAGACCTTCAGGCTGAGGAGCCCTCAGGCATTACCTCATTATTTAGCAAATGGAAGGAAACCTCCACTCCTTGAAGTGTCCGAAGTGACTCCCGGAGAAGCAGAGCAATACTGGGACCAGAGAGCCCAGTGAGGGCCCAAGAGGAATTGCTGCCCGACTGAATGGCATCTCCATATGGTGGCTGATGCCTTGGTTCCTGGGACACAGAAGCTGAGTCATATTATAAATTGGGCCCAGAAATTCTTGTCCAGCTCTCCTGAAGAGCACAAGTTGAAAAGTCCCAAAACTGCTATAGGACTCCCTTGGTCTAACTTTTGCCAAAGTTCGAATGCTCTAGGAAATAAGAAAAAGGGTTATCTGAGATCATCTGATTCTCCCCCTCTGCTCAGAGACCAGTCTGGTACCCAAAAGCATATTCCTAGTTTCCCTTTAAGCTCCCAGAATAACTTGTCAGAAATCGCCTTGTCTTTGGAATTTTCAAATTCCTTCCTGAAGGATTTTCCTGGCTATCAGTCTTGTGGGTGGCAAGAAACTACAGTTAGGAATGAGAGGGAGGGAGGAGCTGCCATGCCCCCTGCTAAAAGTCTTAAGCAGGAAGATTCTGCTCAGCAAAAATATGACAGAGCAGGAAATAGACATATCAGAACCCAGTGAGGATGAGACGTTTCCTGAGAGGTCGGGGTTCAGCCACAACTCAGATATACTTATGTAGATAGTAAGGTTTTAGAGGAGACTGGGCAGAGCCCACCAAGAAATGGTTACTTCTGGAATCCACTGACAGACATCTCAGAGGAGGAACTTTTAGATGAACCTGGGAGAGGGAAGGGAACTCTCAGAAGGGGTGTTGTAGGCAGGAAATGCAGAGTTTCCGGGAATTTCCTTATCTCCCACAAGGGGTAGCACACTGGTGCCAGAAATCACTGTGCTGGAAGGTAGCGTTTCCTCTCCTGGAGACACACCCTTGGGAGAGGATGTCAGGGTGGAGTTCAGAGTAAAGCCTGCAGGGATGCCCAAGGGTGCTATAGCAGGATGTCAGGTTGACAACTGCAGAGGTGATGACCCCATTCAGAGGCTGCCTGAGGGTCAACAGACAGCCCCCTGCGACAGCTCCAATGGATGGAGAAAGGAATCGGACAACACAGTGTTCACTTTAAGCTCCCCCCAGATCGATACTAATAAAAATGAATGGAGACATGCCACTACAAGGACAGAAGGAGAGACCGATGGGGAGAGTACCAAGAGGCGGTCAGAGCAGTTGTGTGCAGAGTTCTGTTAAAAGCAGCCCTTGGCCAGGTGCGGTGGCTGACGCCTGTAATCCCAACACTTTGGGTGGCTGAACTGAGACGGGTGGATCATGAGGTCAGAAGTTCAAGACCAACCTTGCCAACATGGCGAAATCCCATCCCTACTAAAAATAGAAAAATTAGCCAAGTGTGGTGACTCATGCCTGTAATCCTAGCTACTCGGGAGGCTGAGGTAGGAGAATTGCTTGAAGCTGAGAGGCAGAGGTTGCAGTGAGCTGAGATTGTGCCACTGCACTCCAGCCTGGGCTACAGAGAGGGACTCCGTCTCAAAAAAAAAAAAAAAGCAGCCCTCCTGAGATAACTCTGAGGCAGTTTGATCTAGCACATCCTGAAAGTTATCGGGGCCCTCAAGTTGCCACCCTCTCGTTGAATATGTTGGAGGGCCCCCTGGAGAATGTGGCCTTTCATGTACATTCAGGTTCTGGTACCTTCCATGAACCCACTGCAGATGGCACATGGTATATGCAGGGCAGCACCTGGTTTCACCAGTTCCCACCACCTGGGATGGACAGAAGATTAGTGCAGACCCCCTGAGTGGAGACCCAAGGAAATAACTCAAGAGCAAAAGGAAAAGCCGCTGCCTTCAATTTATCCCACTTCCAGGGACTTTTTCACAACTGGTGTGAAGGGATCCTTGCCATTCCAGGATGTCCGTGATAGCCTCTCTTGGAGTAATGACCCATCACATAAACCAGAGCATGGAGTCGGTGTACTGGAGACATATTTCTGCTATTTGCATGTGTGGAACAATATCAGGGGTCTCTTTTCAGAAGAGGGAAACTCCTCTTTACCTTTCCAGGGGCCTGGACTGAATCAGAGTCAGTTATTGTATCTCCAGGAGGGAAAGGCAGGTCTGAAGGGGCCGGCATAGAAGGGAAGACGCAACAGTGGAGAGATGGAAGCAGGAGCAAGGCAGCCATGGAAGGTGAGGGGAGTGTCCACCCCCAAGGAGGAGGCTGGGCCAAAGAGGCAGCTCTGGAGGTGAACAGCTTCTGGAAGCCTGAAGGCTACTATGGTATGAAATGAGAGTTGGGCAAAAAAGTCTCATGAGCAGCAATTTGTTGGCACTTGTATAACCTGTCACGTGGCCACTGGGGATGAGACACAGGCCTCCGGGCCTCTGGCTTCATCACGTACTCACTGTTATTAAGACCTCTGGGCTTCATTTTCCATAAACATCAAATGGGGGTAATTATCAGCATATAGTATATACTGTAAGATGCTATGCCAATATTTGTTGTACTTTGTCAGACCAAAAGCCATTAGCTGGTTAAAAGTAATCTTAGTAAATCGTTATTCTGAAAGGTAAAAGCTACAGCATTTTTCTGATTGGATCTGCCTCTCTCTGAGGTGCTGGCATTTTCCATGAGCATGATGATTCTATTCATTTTGCTGTCTTGTAGTTTGTATGGAAATAAGCATTTTATGCCTTTCATCTGAAATACGTTTTAATAACCCAGCATTAGAAAATAGAAATTCGCCTTTCCAGTTTGAATGCTGTGTAGATTAAAAACAAAGATTAGTTCCTTTTTCTTTCATAGAATAAACCCAGATTAGGAATATAAAACATTTTGCTAGATCTTCATGAAAAAATATTCTTATTTGAATTCACTTTCTTTGTTTTTTGGAACTAGGTTACATGATTTGTTGTGAACAGTAGTAAAATATAACATTTCAGAGCTGTTTTGAAAACCAACTGAAATGGTAGAAGATACAGATTATTAAAATATGCTTATAATATTTTTATAGTATTTGCGAGGTGGAGGGACATGCCTTTTATTAGTACAATTAACAGAGTATATCTGCAAAATAAAATCTATGTGCTTAATATGAAATGTGAAAGATTTGTAACTTCTTATTTCGTATTTTTAGGGTGGTTATATTCTACTACCCCCAAAATGATATTCAGAATGACCAGCTCTAGGAGGTCCTGGGAAATGTCTGATATGGCGTGTTCATCTAATTAACGTGGAGAGGTAAAGCCAAGGTTTGACCATTCTTTTGTTTTGTCACATAATATTAATATTTTAAACATTTCGACATTTCAACATTGGCAATCTTCTGAGAAATTAGTTAGTATTCCAGTTTATACAGTGCGGTAAATTGATTATGTATTGAAGGTCTACCATGTGTAAGATACTGTACCAGGGGAAGAAGAGATGCCTACTCCAGGGGATGAAGTTCTGTAAGACAAGTGCATATAAAGTGCCTGGGGAGCAAAAGAGGGAGAAGTGATTGTCCTGGTGGAGTCAGTAAAGGTTTCATTTTGGAGATCAAAGTGAGGGGGTGTTTGAAGGATGGTGAGGAGTTCAACAGGTGAGAAAACGAATACCGGTTGGTAGAAATAGCATGAGCATAGTCATAGAGGAAGGTTGTGTGGATTTGGTTGAGAAAGTACTGAGTTGTCCAATGTCGTTGCATTTACTAGTCAGTATTATTTTGATTGCAAGTGATAGAAGTGCTACTCAAACTAGTGGGACAACAGAAAAATGTATGGCTTGCTTATCTGAAAATCTGTTGAGGCTTCATCCAGCAACTCTGCACAGTGATATCAATTCAGTACTCAACTTTTCTCCATTTCTTCACTATGCTCTCCTTCCAAGATGGCAAAAACCTTTGTATTTTTCATATTGTATTTGGCCTCAGGCAATCTTCTATAGATGCATTTCTTAAAGGAAACTCCTCCAAAGATTTCATCAGCTCTGTTTTGTGTTTCTTCTGGGCTCCTTTTAACCAGTGTTGGTATACAGAAAATGAAGTCAAAGATTTGGATGAATCATGGCTCTGCCACTTGTTAACTGAGTATCTTTGGTTGAGTTTCTTAAGCTCTTTGAGATTTAGTTTTGTCATCTATAAAATGGATATAATATTTGTCTCACCTGCTTTAAAGGATGATTTTGAAGATTATATAAATACAGTATATGGAAGAGCTTTGAGAATTATAATTGGCAAAACCAGTATTAACAATATGGCTATTTGGGGCGACAGAGCGAGACTCCATCTCGGAAAAAAAAAAAATAAAATTAAAAAACAATATGGCTATTTGGTACATAGCAACTTATCCTAGAACTAAATGATCTTGTTGGCATATGTTTATATCCCTTTTGTAAAACATTCCCATGTCATCATTGTTATCAGTATCAGCATCATCAAATCAGTATATGTTTATTATGTACTTAGTCCATGTGTGCCAAGCAAGCTGATTTTTTTCTTGTATTAAATTGCAGTCATCATGTACTGTTAGATGACATATTTGTATGGTGTTTTTGAGCTTTATAACATGGAATCCATTTTTCTTATTTCATCCAATGTCTTTGGAAAGTGTAAGTGGTCCAATTATCTGAAACAAAATTTATCAAAAGCACTTTTCCCTGAGAACCTTTTTTGTCCCCTCCAGTGATGAGTTTAGCAATAGAAATCTTTTGTCCTTGTAAGTTCTTAGGACCCACAGCCAGTGTAAGTGAAGAGCTCGAACCTTATATCTTGAACCCAGATGTGGCCTCTGAACTTCAGGTACATACATACACCTTTCTTGACATACCCATTTGGATGTTTCACAGGACTCCAAACTTTGCAAGTTGAAACAACATTGATCAGTCCCTGCCTCACCCCACGTGGTATTCCTGTGCCTGTGTCGTGTCCTCCATCTAGTGGCCAGCCCTGTGGTGCTCCCAACTGCCCAGGCCAGAACACCGAGGCCTCTTACTCCTTCCTCTTCCTCACCATCCAAACTCAGTCCATCTCTAAATCCTGTCCACTGTTACCTCCTAAATGTTTTTGAATACAGCTATTCATCTTCATCCTCACCTTCTTACCATCAGCTCTCCCTGGAGGACTGCGACACCACCTGCCTTGTCCCCCTTAAGCAGTCAGATGCTCACTCAGGCTCTCACTTTGATCTGTTCTACACACTGCCATCAAAATGAGTTTTTCAAACATCTTCGAAGGGCACTCTGCAGTGAATTGCCACTGCCCGTAGAATAAACGTTATCTACATCAGCATGTGTTTTGCGTTCCGAGTGTTTCCATCCCGGCCTCTCATCCTCTTGCTCCAGCCACAGGACCTCCCTTAGTTCCGCTAGCACCATGCACTCCCTCTCACCCCAGGGCCTTTGCATTTGCTGTTCCTCCTGAATGGAGCGCCCACCCCTAGCCAGCGCCTTACTTAAGTGATACTCACTCTTCAGATCTGAAATTTAGGACCCCAAGGGAGCCCCCCACCCTACCACCTTCGGAACAGATCTAGTCTATTTAACCTATTTTCTCTCAAGGCACCCTATTTTTCACTTTCAAGGAACTTACCTAAAATGTAATGGATTAGGCCAGATGTGGTGGCTCATGCCTGTAATCCCAGCACTTTGGGTGGCTGAGATTGATGAATCACTTGAGGTCAAGAGTTTGAGACCAGCCTGGCCAATATGATGAAACCCCATCTCTACTAAAAATACAAAAATTAGCCAGGTATTGTGGTGAGTGCCTGTAATCCCAGCTACTGAGGAGGCTGAGGCAGGAGAATTGCTTGAACCTGGGAAGCGGAGGTAGCAGTGACCCGAGATTGCGCCATTGCACTCCAGCCTGGGTGACAGAACAAGAGTCCATCTCAAAAAAAAAAAAAAAAAAAGGAAGGAAATAGAACACGAGGAGGGTCTACAAGGGCAGTACCAAGTCTGTCTAGCTCACTAAGAACTAGAAGTGCTCAATATTTATTTATTGAATAAATAAATGTAAATTTTGTAGGAAGCCACACTAATTTTTAATGGATTGCTGTCTATCATCTATCGATTATATATATGGGACATATAATATCCGTACATATAGATTCCATATATACAATAACTTCCATTTTGCTAGCTTTAAGAATTAAGAGTTGGATCCTTATAGGAGAATAATCTAAATAAGTACATCTTTTTCTTTTAAGTACTGCTGTCCATTTACTTATTGTTAATTAACAAGTAAAAATTATATATATTATGGTGTACAACATGATGTTTTGATATATGTATACTTGTGGAATGGCAAAATCAAGCTATTTAACATATGTAGTGCTTCACATACTTAATCTTTTCTGTGGTGAGAACACTTAAAATCTAATTTCTTGGCCAGATGTGGTGACTCAAGCCTGTAATCCCAGCTGTTTGGGAGGCCAAGGCGGAAGGATCACCTGAGGTGAGGAGTTTGAGACCAGCCTGGCCAACGTGGTGAAACCCTATCTCTACTAAAAATTAAAAAAAAAAAAAAAAAAAAAAAAAAAAAAAAGCCAGGCATGGTGGCGGCTGCATTGAGCTGAGATCAAGCCACTGCACTCCAGTCTGGGCAATAGAATGAGACCCTACCTCAAAAAAAACAAACAAACAAAAAAGTACTACTTTCTTTTAATGCCATTTCTGGTTAAATTCCTTTTAAAGTACATTGGAAAGCTTTCTATCGTTACAATGTGTGTTAGTTGTAGTTAAATATTTGCTTGACAATTGTTTGTCATTACGAATATTCATTATTTATAGTTCTGTTTGCTCTTTTGTTATCATTGTCTATTACATCTCTGAGTCATTGCAGCTGCTTGACTCATGTCTTTTCTCTTAGCCAATTTTCCTTTCAATCTGCATAGATTTGGAAATTAATTAAACATACTTATTAGGCTTATGTGTTAAATAATAGTTAATAAGGCTTTGAATGAGAACTTAAGGACCAAAGTGCATGTTTCTATGATGGGTGCTTTTTCTTTTTTTTTTTGGGCAGGAAGTAGGATTTATTGGTGGGCATTAGGAGGGAGCAGCACATGGAGAGCCCTCATGATGCAGGGCCTGCCACTTGTCCAGAGGGCCATAACTGGAGATGTATTTGACCCCACAGCCATCTGGGATGAGTCACTTCTCAGTCACCGTGTTTTCAAATCATCCGCATGATGCTGTGTTATGTTAGCATTTTCATCTGTGTCCTGGTCTGGCTTCTGGGTGCTTGAAGGAGTTGTAGGCCTGATAATCTGGGAAGAGAGATATTATTGCATATATTCGTGCCCTTAGGAGCTAAAACATTGAAAACAAAATGCTAAACCACTTGAGAATAGAACTGAAGAGAAAACAAACCAAGCATGAAATCATTCTGAGCAATTTTCCTTACCTACATATTCCAAGCATGAAATCATGCCAAGCACTATCCCTTACCAACATATTAAGTAAAATTAGATCTCAGGCAAGTAACTAATTTGTAGTGAGGGGTGGAGAAATAGAAAAAAGTACCATTAATATTTACATTGAGTCCAACTGCTATATTCGTCCACGTGATAATATATGTTTCACTCCAAAAACATTTCTCACAATTATATTTTTTAAAAATTCTGAAATAGCACTAGATTGGTTAAGTAGTTGCTCCCAGAATCCACTTACTACTTGGGAGTGTCCCCTCCGTTACCAAGGCCTCTGCAAAGAGAATATCCAAACTCTGGCATCCTCTATCAACATGATGATAGGAATATGCTTTCCCCACTGCTAAGAACCCTGGATGGGCTTTTGCTTGTCATTCTCTAGCACATTTTTGGTTCCACGTCGAATGCAG